TGGAGTAAGTCATAAGTTAGGCGTTAGATTCCTGCTGCGTTAGAGGCATGGGCAAAGAGAGACTTGATGCATTCCTGGGTTCCAGATGTGCACATCAACTTATTGTATTTCCTCAAAGAGGCTCATGCTATCCTCAAAGTGGTGACATTTCATGGAAGAAGATGAAGTTTGGGTTAAAGACGGAGAGTGAAGGGAGCCAAAAATGTGTGAATTCTCCTTCTCCCCACACACTGACACATGAAAACACAGACCAACCCATCAATCACTTGCTAAATAACAGCATACTTCTTTTTCCACTCCTTCAGCCTGCCTCGTGGATGCATGAGTGTTTCACTGGCGAGTTTTATAAATGATAAACAACTGAAGTGGAATTGTATTCACACCCATCAAACAGCAGGCTCAATACGAGAGCCAATGGAGAAGTGCTTTAAGGAGGAAAATTCTCTGATGATTGCTGACTCCAGAAAAACCCAAATCAATATCAAATCCACCAGTTTCTCTGCTGAAATACTTTCCTCCCTCAGATTATTTTTGTCTGGTTCCAATAACCAACACATGGCAGTGAGTAAGAAACACTGACAAAAGCATTACACTGTCATTCTGCATATTAATAAAGAGTCCTTGTCAAGGGAGCTCATGCAGAATAGATTAATCCACATTCATGCGCCTTTATATCCATCACTTCTACATATTTTGTATTCTGGCATCATACTTTCTGTGCATTACTAAAGTAGCCTACTGCAGGACCTGGTTAGCAAGCAGGTGCATCATTAGGTCTATTGCAAAGAAGTAGGATCATTAGTTCTAAGTAACAGACTAAGAAAACTAGAATCCATCACACATCCCACAAAAATAATACTTTTTTTGTTCAATAGTGCTCTTATAAATGCTCCAAAACCCAGCATACCACAAACACAGTCAAGAGGTTCAGTTCAGTCATTTGATTGGCAGTGGTTAAGACTAGCAGACAAGTAAGTCCTATTAACTCTGTAAAATATCTAAGCCTTAATAGAATTTAAACAGTTGAGTTATTTTTAAAAAGCCCACTTTAAAGTAGAGTTGGATGTCTCGAGACCGGTCTTGGTCTCGCCTTTTACGTGGTCTTGGTCTCGTCTTGGTCTCGACGGACTTTTGTCTTGGTCTTGGTCTCGCTGTCTTGGTCTTGCGTTCTCAAATCGACATAGTGTTCGGGAGATTTGGAGTCAACCATCAGCGGAGCGGGGGGATGGTTTACTGGGCTTAAGCCCGGGTCATTTTTTCAGAAGCATGGGGTCTTTTGGAGTGTAATTTGTTAGTTAGATGCCTGACTGACAACTGTATAAAACAAAAACAACACACGAAGCACAGAGCGCACCGTCGTAAATTCCCCCTAATTTTGGTATGATCCGAGCTCAGGCACTGGGCGACTGAGCGCAGCACCCATGTGAGCGAGGGGGGGAGAAGCTGCTGCCTGCGAGTTTGCTGCAGACAGAGGAGAGCTTAAGTGTGATTTGATGTTACAATTAAAAAAGTGTTTGTGTTTTTATCTGAAGAGTGTGTAAATATCTGGTTTCGACTGTATATTTGATGATGTTGGTGTTTGGCTTGATTGTCAGCACAAAGAGGGAGAGAGAGGGGGAGAGAGAGGGAGATGGAGAATGAGGACAGAACAGAGATGGAACAAGAGCAGGTGAGACACACATGTTAGTCAAATGGTTGTTTGCCAAAACTCATCAGAACATGCATCCAGTGTCTAGTGTAACTTTTTAGATACCATTTGTTACTTTTCAAATTCTATATTTATTAAGTTATGCAGGCTTATGAAGGCTAAATAATTATATAAACGTTTCTCAAATAGTGGACTTTGGTAGAATTAAAAAATAAGTGTAGTGCAGGTCTATGATGATTTTTAGTGCTACTATCATCTAGTTTTGATTCTGGTTCTGTTTTGGTTAAGTCCTAAGTAGTCCTGATTTTGAACTGTTGTAGTCCTGTTTTAATTCCGGATCAGTTCTGGGTCTGGTTGAATTGGGGTTTAGTCCCTGTGTCTTGATACAGCCCGACTTTGTTCTGCCTTGCTGCTTAATTAAAAACTAGTTTAAGGTGTCCTGCATATGTGATATATATTTTTCCCTATATGAAGTCATTCTTTTTTGAACAAAACTCAAAACAGAGCCAATTAATCTTTCAGTCATTTCTACCCTCACTTAATTTCCTTTTGCTGCTCAGCTCTCACACAGTGGCTCAGCTATGTTCCAATCCCTCTATATTGTGGCCAATCACATGCGAGGATATAGGATAATATCATTATGTGAAAAACAGAGAGGGTGAGAGATGCGACAGTCAAGTGGAGCATCTGTCTTTCCTCTCAGTAAGTGAGTGAGACAGTTGACAGCGGTGAGGAGGGCTGTGCGAAAGCAAAAGCACATAAATATGCCTGACACCCGTAAACGTAGCAGCATCTGGCTGCAGTTTAAAGACTGTTTTGTCTCGGTCTTGGTCTCGTCTCGACTTGGTCTCGGTCTTGTCTTGGTCTCGGATTAGGCGGTCTTGACTACAAGTCTACTTTAAAGTTATGAGGAGGATAATTAGTTTCAGATGGAATAAAAGATGGACGTAGCGCTGGGGTCTGAAAATCAAAGCTACATGCAAAAGCCAAAAGAATAAAAAAGTCAGTTCAATTTGCAAATTTCTGAAAGTAGTTTTATCCATATGGTCATTGGCTGATGAGTCACCAGATCTCAATCCGATACAGCACCTTTGGGATGTGGTGGAAAAAAACATTTACATCATGGATGAGCAGCTGACACGTCTGCAACACTGTGTGATGCTGTCATATCAATTTTGAAAATTTCTGGCAGTTTTTAAGCCAACAGGGAATCAGAGGTGTAGGCAAGGTGTAGGCAAATAAGTGGCCAGTGAGTGTACGTGACAAATGAACGTGCCTTCCTGACGTCTCGGATGTACTAACGCAGCAGCCTCATTGATGTGGTGTGCAGGAGGGGGTGGGCCGGTGTGTGTGTGTGTGTGTGTGTGTGTGTGTGGGGGGGGGTCCGGCCACACCTGCCAATGAACACCCTTCACCACATCAAAATGCATCACACAAGTAAATGTCTCTCAATTCAGTGGTGAAATATGCAAAGCAACACGTTAAAACGTCTCTGCCCTCTGTCATAGCACATTCCTCATTTTACACTGCAGCCACAACACACCCAGTCAAATCAAAGTGTTCTTTTGTGAACAGCACAACCTCGTACCCAGGGCATCCCATCCTCGACCACTCCACAGTCCGGAGTAAAGAGCGAGCTCTGGAGTTCCAAAGCAGAGGATTACAATAAACCGCCCCACCCCAAACTCTGGTCCCACGCCAAGCCTCAGATATTTCACTTTTGTTGACAAGACACTTTTCATTCCAGTACTCCCCCCTCCCCCCCTTTTTTTACTGCACCCCTCATCTCCTCACTTACAAACTATCCATCCCCATGTGTACAGCAATGCATGCATGATGAGGACTTGTATCATGAATCATCACAGATGTTTTGTTGGACGTCCACACTTTAGAGAATTGTGGTTGCGTATTAAGTCCACTCCTTAACATTCCATACACACATATGGAAGTGTTTACATCCAGGGAAAAACTGTTTGGGGGTTTGAGCCACTCGAGGCCACAGGATCGAATGTGGGACGGGGGTGAAAAAATTATTTTTTTCACACCCGCACCAAAAAATGATGGGATAACTGTAAAGACCAAATTCCCTGTAATCCCATCTTTGGCATTACAACTACTGACTTAATTTCTGTCTTTCTTGGTTTCTTTGGTCACCACCTGTTCATCCAGATCCACCGTGATGAAGAGCATGAGAAATTTATCCGCTTTTGCTTTCTTGATAACCCTCTCCCTGAATGAAATTATCCAGCAGTTCATGTATTTCTTGCTTTGACCCTGTGCTTCTTCATCTTCTTTATCTCCTCCTCCTCAACTGCAGGGAATCTCCAAGATCTCATTACTGAACCGAAATGGCTGGAATACAGCGCCTGATTAGCTCCAACTGACCTTTAGTTTGTTTTCCAGTAATGCAGAGCAGCACTGAGTGATATCCTCAAGTCATATTCATGGCTCCACAACACTCTGCATGCATGATTTTTGCTCTACAAACCAGATGATGAGAGTGACCCTGCTCATCCACCCACACCAGACTAAATGCATTTATTTAACATGATTTTACTCAGGACTGTTTTAGTGAGACAGAAAAAACAAACGTGTCAGAGAGATAAGCCAAACTGCCTCATCCTGTTAGTATTAGTGTATTCTCAAAAGGCCCACCGCACCCCGGCTCTGTCTTGGCTCGTGGGCTCTTGTACATGGTTGAGACGAATGGGTGGGATGGGGCCCGTTCTCACTCCCGAGGCGTAACATGTCGACGTTTTGTCACGTCCCGCGGCGTTCCTGAGGAACGCGAAAGGAGACCTTCGGCGTTCTTATGGTACGCGGCGGGTGATGCCTGGAATCCAGTGCAATGACGCTCCTGCGGTAATAGACGTTCCAGCCCTGTATTCCAGCCCTAAACCTAACCTTATTCCTGATCTTAACCAGGACTTTAATGATGTTAAATAGCGTGTTTCTAAGCGATTTGAAGAGAAAGAGCAAACATGTGTAGATGGAGGTCTACACATGTTGGTCGTCATTTAGGAACGTGGTGGGTAGCCGAAAACGTAATATGTTGACCTCACCTAGCGTAAAATGTTACGCTTTGGGAGTGAGAACGTGTTGGATGGGGAGTGCGTAAGGTGACTTGGATGGCTTTATCAACCGTGAGTAATTCCTCCTCGTCCTTTTCCCCAGCTCCCTCGGTTCCTGATCTCTAAACACTGAATGTAAAGTGAACATCTGTCCATCTATCTATCTCTATCTTTACCTCTCATCCTCCCATTCGCAGCTGCCTTGGCTCCAGCTCTCTTTGGGGAGGAGGTGGGTAATTATGTGTGGCCCGGTCATGGGGAATGAGACAGGACACAGGAAATACTCTTTTGTGGGCTTTTTTATTCTCCGACTGTACTCGGAGGAGCACAGTTTTAATTCTGTAGTTTTGAGTGAAACGGCAAAATTTAACTATTCCACTGGCTCAGCCTAAACTGCCTTTCAGGGTCTGAGACAACAGTAACTATCATATGTACATGTTAAATCCAAACAGTATAGACAACAGTAGTGACCTGTCAAGAAACAAATACAACAAAAAAAAGAGAAAACAAAACAAATAAACACATTGTTTACATCCCACAACTTGGCAGGTCAACTGGCAATAAAGTGCACTGTAAACTCTCTTTTAAACATACATTTCTATGGGAGAACATCATGAACTCACTTCGGTTTCTCCACACAGCTACTGTGCTAGGACAAGTACACATGCAGGAATCACACAGCAAGTAATCTCCCCTCTGAATCAAACAGAAACATACAAAGTTATGCAAAGTGAGTAAAAGTACAAACTTAACAACTTTGAAATCTGTTAGGACACTGTAACTACTCACGCCAACCCGCTCTTCAGTCCCTTTCACAGCACGTGACCATTAAACATGCACCCGTCGCGCGTTAAGAACTGTACAGAAATGGTCACAAACATGGAGTCATTGCTAAAGAAACTTAGCTAATTACAGTCTACTACAACACTGGTGACAATATTTTGCAGTATGCTACACTTTTTAGCACATTTACCTCGTGTGTAGCTAGCCACAGAATCTTTTGCAGTCTCTAACTCTCCAGTGCTCCCGCTCACAGCGCTCAGTGTGACACAAACTTGAGTGCATGCGTGCTCTGGCTTACGGCGGCTCTTAAAGGGACAGTATACCCCCAAAACGCGAGGTCTAGTCATCACCATGACAACCCTACAACAGACCTCCGGTAGACAGGCAACCAGTCAAAAACACAATTCCCTCTTTTTAAACCCTTTCCATGCGTAGTATTAGTTCACTTGGCTACATATGTGACGCAATGAGAAACAAATAACACTTGCTTATAGCCGTCTGCTGGTTTGGATTACACTGATTGGCTGGTGTGTGTGCTCCAGGGCCAAATTTTTGAGAATTTGTTATTAAATGTTTGACCTGTTCTGGCTGCCAGAGGAGAAGAAATACCATCTGCACCTTCTGGAGAGCTTCCCCTGTGATCGGGCTCTGATGTTGGACTCAAGCTGTGAATTACTGTCTGAGCTGGAAACGAGGGACTCACATGAGCCGTGTTATGTTTTTAGAGCCTCAAACAGCTGTGAGGTAGCCATTTGGAGCTGCCCTTTTTCCCTCAATCAAATTACACAAACTGGAGCTGCTCGGGCCTGATTGGATTGTAAAACGCTGGCGTCCTTTGACATTGGTATCAGCGGGGTTGTGATGAAAAGGAGCTAATTCCATATTGGATATTCTTACGAAGCCCAGTGCAGTGCAAACACTCTTCTTCTCAAACATGGTAAAAAATTATATTATTTAAATGGATCTGTTATGCTTTTCCTTATTTTCTGTCATACTGTGCTGTGCAAAAGTCTTGAGCCACCCCTCGTTGCTGCGTGTTTTTTCTTCCAAGGATCCAGACTTGTATCTTTGGGCACTTTGTTACCAGCAGCCTCTAGCAAACACATCATTTATTAAATTTCTTTAGTTAAAGTTATGAAAACATGCCTGAAAAAACACAAACTGACAGGTTAAATGATCACCAAAAAGGTGATTCTCAATGAGCTACCAGCCAAAATCTTGGATTATATCTTGGGATGGTGTGCACGCTGTGGTTGTCCAGGAAATTGGACAAAGGAAGACGTTTCAGGCCTAAAAAAAAAAAAAAAAAAAAAAAAAAAACTATCTACAGCAGATAAGCAGTATCTGAAAGTCATGTCCTCAAGAAATAGGAAAGAAATCTAGCAAAGACCTGACAGGACCTGAAATATAGATATGGCCCTACAGTTGATCCATCTACTGTTCACTGAAGAATCATCAGAAATGGTCTCAGTGGAAGTTTGGCTGCCAAGAAGCCATTCTTAAGCAAGGGAACGAGGGGGGAAAGGCTGATTTATGCCAAATTACGCAAGAACTGGACTGAAAATCAGTGAAACAGGCCTTATGGATGAATCCAAAGTTGAGATTTGTGTTTCAAAAAGCATGTACAAAGTTGTCAGGACAAAGGTACAACAGCAAGTGTCAATTGTCATCTGTAAAACACAGTGGAGACTTTCACTAGCTGGGCCCAAGGCTGGACTGGGACAAAAAATCGGCCCGGGCATTTTGACTAGAGACCGGCCCACCAGGATAAAGATTGAAAATGTGATGTCATTCAGGGGTAAAACCGCAAAGGATTCTGGGAACTTGTGGCAAGAGGTACTAGCGCACGCAGGCTTTCAATTGAACTCAGTTATACAGCGATAAAAAGAAACACAAAAAATGGCAAGAAGCTGTTGCATTATTAACTGCAATAGCCGGTCGCATGACAGCCACGGGAAGCCGATCGTTTTTTTTATTTTATCGGATTACGTCGTTGAAGAGAAATTTTTTAAGCCATGTTTCCGAAGTAAGAGCCGACGGATGGTCTGGATATACCAAATATAACGTCTCAGAACACTCCAGCTCACATGTTAGTCTGCTCCAAGCATTCCCACAAAGGTCAGTCTTCTGTTGTAGTTAATACGTCATTTTTCTTAACATAATTGGTGATATAGGTTACAAGCAAGTCTGGCGCTGAACAGAAATTGTCGCACTATGCCCCTTTATTTATTGTGCATAAATAGTAAATTGTCCTGACACAATATTGTGTTTCGCTTCTGTTATTACCATGGTACATTGACAAAAACATACTTTTATTCACAGGATAAAACAGTTGTTTTGTATCACTAATTGTCCAGTACGATTACAGCATACAATATTATTGTCACTGCTACATTTCTGTAATGAACCAGAAATTATTTCTACTACTAATTAATTACCGTTGAGCTCAAAGGTCCTATTAATAAACGGTTAACGAATGTGTATTTATGAAGACAATTTGTGAGACTGGTAAACTTATGATACGTACGATGGTCTTTCGTTCTACTCGGTGCATTTCAAGGTCCTGTACCCATCCGGCGGTAAACTGTACCTGGGCTTGTTGCAGTGACCTGAAGTTACTAAACTTCATGAGTGCATGCACTCACTCCAAGAACCGTGTAATTATAAATCTGAGCGTGGTGAAAGTTGGGCAGCATGCTAACGTCCTTTGTCCACTCTGTGTGCTCGTAAGGGTCTGACCCTTTCACACCTTTGATTTTTTCCTCGTATCTTTTCTTTGTCTTTTCGTCGAGTCTGTCTTTGTACGGACCGGCATTGTTCTCCTTTTGTTTTGTACATTCCTTTTTTGTGCGGCAAAGAAAAAACAAGAAGGTATTGGAACCGGAGAATGAACGTTTTGTGGTGCTGCAAATGCTTGCATTTGATGCGGTACTTGGATTGTTTCGCCACGAGTTCCCGGCCTGCAATGCGCGAAAAATCACGTGATTGCTAAACAAGGGGGCGGGTGCATTCGGCCTCCTCGGCTGTAATTGGTCCAGCCCAGAGTCGATCATGACCAATTGGCCAATCCAACACCTTTCATTATATACACCCTTCCTAAAAAAAAAATAAAAAATCCATCGGCCCATAAAAACAAAAAATCGCCAGCGGCCCACCGGGCAACTGGCCGGTATGCCCGATGGCCAGTCCAGCTATGGCTGGGCCCACATCCTCTTTTTAGGTTTGGCAGTGTTTTACACTGTTTTACAGTGAATGACTTAATCAGAGCTGCGGTTTGGGGAAAGCCTTGATGGGGACTCTCAGATCCCTGTGTACTAATGAGAAGTGAAGAAGTGAAAGAATTGACCAGACACCTTCTGTCCCTTCAAAGGGACAGAAGGTAAAAACAACCCATTTCCATCAGTGGATGAACTCAATGGTTGCATGAAGGACAGTATAAAGTAGATAATGAGCATCCTGAACTATTAATCATTCAAAGTTACTCTACTAAGAGACCAGGAATACAAACATTGAGCTGGAAATGAGCAGAAAGAGGCACTTTAAGGTCATAATCCAATCACACAAGAGTGGTTTGCAGTCCATCTCACCTTACTCTCTGTTCATGAGGCTTATAAAGGACTTATTTTCTTAATGGACATCAAAGGTTTATGACCTTATAATCCACACTGTCCCTCTTGGACAGAGGGACAGGATGGATCTCGCTGCTTTCTAAATGTATTGCAAAAGAAAATATAAGGTGTTATGGTAAGCACCTTACTACACCTATTAAGTTTCATTTTGACAACATCTTCCTGTTACTATAATTTTGAGAGTAAAAGGAAGTGAAGTGCAGTAGGAGAGCCACAAAGATCTATTCAGGGATGAAGTTTGGGTAGATGAATGGATCCTCGAATACACTAAACACCACATTTAACCTGCAAAGTGCTGTAATTCAGATAAAAATTTGTGTCAATGAAGTTTTTGTGTCAGCGACTAAGTCGTTGCTGCCAAAACGACACATTCCTTCAACAGCGTCTAAACCAGAGTGTTCAACATGTTTTACACTGACAATGAAAGCCTTCTGTGCCAGACTGCTATTTTTCTCGGGATAACTGACTGCTGTTGTGTATCAAAGAAAATATTCTTCAATTTCTGTTTGTTTTTTTGTCAGGCAAAAGAGTCTGTAAATGATTTGAGAATTTTTAACTTTTCAAATGTAAATTACTTATTTGTAGATCTGGGTTTTAGTCATAGAATTATTGGTGGGTTATATCACCAATGGGTTCAACATATAAGAGAAATTATTCCTGTGCTCTGTATTATATTATGAAAGCTGCCAGTATGGAATGAGATTTAGGTGATTAACTTCTTGCCATACCTAAAGTCATGTTAAAAACAGTGACATCTGACCTTGTCGTAGTACGATCTGGTTTAAGGTGTTCAGATTTCTGTTAAATTAAACTGAATTGTATTTATATTGTTTATATTATTTCGTCTAAGATGGGTTGGGGAGCCGGAGGAGCCTGAATTCTTTCTTCTTTGGCACCTGTGACTCTTTGGTCTCATCCACAGCTGGTATTTAACATCACGTCTCTGCCAGATTGTTTTCTATCTCAGCGTGTAATCAGGCTTGTTCTTGGCCATTCACTGTAATCCCATGTACTTATCACTATGCTCCTGTGCATGTTCTAGCACCTTTCTGCTAGACAGTTGCTTCTTCTCAATCTTTATTGCTGAGGATTCTTTCAAGGAGATGTACCACTTCGCCCTGCCTGTCTGCCCATCCTCCTTTAACTTTCAGACTTCTTTTGGAGAACAAACCAGTGATCCAAGCTCCATCGTCTCCTGCTCCAAGTAAACTATCCCACATCTTTGAGACTTTTTTTTTGTCATCCAACCATTACACTCAACCTCTTCTCTCTTTCAGAAACACTGACCTCTGAGCTTGGACGTCTCCTGCAAGAGTTCAGTTTGTTTACATTCATTCCTGTACAAAAACCTCTGTTGTCAATAAATCTGTTGAACTGTGTCCCTGGTGTATATTAAACCCATTATTTGATCTCCTAATTCCATCAGAAGAGTGATTGTGAAGCCTGCAGCCAGGGCAATTACTGGATCCTCTTGTGAACACTCATGGCCTCCCTTTTTGTTTACAGACACCTCTGGTTTCACTCTTGCTGTGTACACTGCCTGAGGATGAAGCTGCTCTGATGACGTAAGTCACGTATATTGTGTACAAACAGGTTTTTGTCTCGTCTTCTCCAGAACCTGCAGCCAAAAACTGAAGTCACTGGTTTCCGTTGCTAATAGAGACACTTTTGTTTAGCAGCAGTTGATCAACATACTTGACAGAGTAACTGTAAACTTATTGGTAGCAGTTTAAATCGTGTTTTTATTTGTGGCAAATTCAAAACCATTTTAAACATAATGAGATGACAATAATCTATTTCCTTAATAACGATTTGTGCATTTGCTTGCATGTACAGTACGCACAGTATCTGAAGTGTCCATGTGTTTGTAGTGCAGAGGCAGCTGTGTGCGCCTGTGAAACTGTCACACAGCGACACAGTTTCGCTGGCTTTGGAGCCTGAGCAGTTTAATCCTTCAGTACGTAGAATTAATTTGCTGTTCCTTGACTCCCTGGCCCAGAGCACAGGGCCATATGGCCCAGCTGGTCATTGTGCACAATGACCAATCATAGAAGACACAACTTAGAAGCAAAGGTGAGGCAGAGCGTGATGGGTGCTGTTAACACCCGGGATCAGATCTGTTTGGTGGCACAGCAGTACACAATGAAAAGCAATAGTGACACTTTGCAACTCTCTGAGGGTTGCAGCGATCACTTCTGCTGCCACGCTGGGACATTTTTGATTGACGCCGATCAGCGCTGCCACTTCCACTGTGACAAACCTGCTGTAGTTATCGCCGCTCTCACTTTGTCGAATATTTG